AGACAGGCGAATGGTGTTTTTGTATAGTGCTTGTTGTTGTTGTTGTTGTTGTTGTGGTTGTGTGCCATGGAGTCGGTTCTGACTCATAGCGACCCTGTACAGGGTATCTGAGGCTGTAAATGTTTACGGGAGCAGAAAGCCTCATCTTTCTCCCACGAAACAGCTGGTAGTTTCATACTGCTGACCTTGAGATTAGCAGCCCGAATTGTAACCACTACACCACCAGAGCTCATACTGAGGCGTAAATCTTTACAAAAGCAGAAAGCTCACGGACCCAGAGCCTGAGATTGCTCTGTCTCTCCATGCCATCGCCTCTGCCACCATCTCTGCTGTTACCACTTTCTGGATAGGGATCCCATGCTCCACTCATGCTCTTCCTTCTTGATGGTCCTTAGATCATCCATTCCTGAAATGAAAAACTAACTACCTCCTCTGCCTTTTAGTTACACATCTTCTGCAATTACACTTGTGACAATCACAATTAATCCTGCTAACAGTTATTCTCAATTAAATCATTAAAATCCTATCACCATCATCCCACATCCCCTTTCACCAGATCCATCTGGGAAGAGGACAGCTAATCAGTGGGGATTCTACTTACCCTCCTTATTCTGAAACTAAGTACACTCATGAAAGCTTGTAAGCCAATCACTTCATGCCTTTATAGTCCCCTCCCCCCATTTTTAATAGCCAATGTCTAGATTGCCCATCCCTATCAACCCAGTGCACTGGATGTCATGTTTGATAAGGTGTAGGGTCAGAGAAGAAGAGAAAGACCCCCAAAGAGATGGATTGGAGAAGTGACAGCATCGAACGACTCAATCATGGCAACAGTAGTGAGGTTGGCCCAGGATCGGGCAGTGTTTCATTCTGCTGTTCATAAGGTTGCTATGACTTGCTACTGACTCAATGGCACCTAACAACAACAACAGCAATCAACCCAGTGCATTGAGGACACAAGCTTGTTCCTTGATATGAAGAATCCTTCCATTCTGGTTGGAATTTTGAGTAACTGCATCCATAAACAAAAGTATAGTTCATCAAATTGTAGTAATTTACACTTGTTCACAGTATCAAACATCTTTATCTTTATCTGGTTGAGTTCTGGTCAGGTAGCCATCCAAGCTAGGTCAAGTGGATACTAGCTGCAAGTTTGGAAGTTTACACACACCTCCCTGAACTTCAGATCAGCTGGCCCCTTAGCTCTCAAACCTAACCCCCAGGGACTAGGTCAGTGCCCTTGGGCTCAGGAGTTCACACATCTCCCTAAACTTCAGACCAGTCAGCCCTTCTCTTCTTCCTCTCAAGTTCAAGGGTGCCAATGGAACATGGCCATACTCAGCCCATGCTTCATTGCTACATTTTCCTCACTTCCATTCACAAGGAGACCCAAGTGGGTTCAGCAAGCATACTATATTGCTTGAGGACTCCCTTTAAGTGTTAATCCTAGAAGGTGTTTTCCCTGATGAACTAACTGATTTTCCTCGCCTTGATGCCTCCAAAGCAAACATTTTGCTTGAGATTCAAACAAATAGCCACACAGTCTGATTTTTTTCTGCAGGTCTTTCTTTCAATAATAATCTGTTTTCCCAGCAGTTCTGGAGTAGTCTTCATGTCTTTTCAAGTGGGAATGTCTCAACTCAGAAGGTTCTGTGGGGCTCAAGATTCTCCAAAAGTTGGCTAATTTCTAAATTGAAGTAATGTAACCTAATGGAAATTAAATTACCTACCTTGAGGTAAAACTATTGACTTTCTGCATTATATATTGTTGTTGTTTTTAAGTGCATAAAGTTGATTCTGACTTAAAGCAACTCTGCATAGGGTTTCCAAGGCTTTAAATCTTTGAGGGAGCAGAAAACCTCATCTTTCTTCTGTGGAGCAGCTGGTGG